TTTGGGATTTTTTTTCCCTCCAATTTTCTTTTTTTTCTCTCACACATCTGCGACCCACTCGAAATGGGTCCGCGACCCACCAGTTGAGAACCACTGTTCTAGACTATCATTTGCCCAAAACAAGTCAACCTGATAGTAGCTAATAAGCTTTGAGCAAATTTGCTGCAGACCCTTTACGAGCAGTACAAGCACACATCCACAAGTATAGGTCTCCAATTATACACATTCACATGAGACACTTTCAAATATGGTGCTGGACCTGCAGCCAGAGCAGAATAACTCTTTAAATATGTAACGCTTCATGTCACCTAGGATGCCTCAATGGTCAAATAATATATTTTGCTCCTTGTTAAAGACGGGGAGGGGAGTCTGAATTCAATAAAACAGTAGCGTTTCTCATGACGGTAGCATCTGGAACGTCCTCAGGAGGGCCAGGGATTTTCCAACTCATTAGGATCATGTTGTTTGGTATGCCGTCAACATTCTCTCAGACAGCCAAGCTACCTTTTTTAAGGTTGTGCAGCCGCAAAAATGTATGAAATCAGTCTCCCGTGGAGTGAATTCAAATATTCCTCTCCCCACACTCTGCCTCTTTTGGAATGGGTTTTCAATAGAAACATAGAGAAACATTTGCACATCTGGTCTGTGTCCTTCTTTTTAGAAAAAGAGCAGTGGGGAGAAGACTGGGATTAGCAAGCTAGAGAGTGAAGGGGAATAGGTGATGTGTGGTGTAGTTATATCTTTTTTGGCAGTAATTCCCATTATTAACTATTAAAAAATGTCTAGTCCTGTAACTGCTTTGAAATTGTGGTGACACTTATAGGCTTTCAGAAAGATATTTACTGTCCAAACCCTTCTCAATCATTTGTGTGGCAGGACAAATGGAAAATGAGCAAATGCAAAAAGAGAAGAGGATTGAAGTTAAAAGAGTAGACTGTTTGAAATGTGTTTGCTACTGTGTATTTTCCTAAACACAGTGCAGCCTCGCTGAATAGTTTGTGGTTCTTGTGAGCACTGTAGTTTAGTCGTAGAGTCACGATGGGACATTACTGTCTGTTCTGTGCCACTTACTCCTTATTTACTAAGGCCAACCCAGGCTGACTTTAATTGTGATTTTTTGTGGTGTTATATAGTTTTGTGCATGTAAATGGTCTCCAAAGGCTAAAGTTCCTGTGTTCCCTCAAGAGGGAGTTTCTCTCCCATACCCCCCCACAAGGAGCATAATAGGGCCCCTTTAATACAGATGAAAAGCTTATTGGATGTAGTGCTTTATTTCACATAAATCTTCATAATGTTGAAGCTATATGAGGACAGAACTGTTGAGATAGTGCCACTCATTTCTTAGCAATGGCTCCATTTTTCCACTAGTGTGACATGCTAGCTGACTAGCTCCAACAGTTTGTAGTTAAAGCATGGGTCTTTTATAACACTCACAAGATTGAGATCCAAATTTAGGTCTTGTGGTCTTTTGGATGTTCTTGTGTCTTCAACCAGCAGTCCTCAGGTCATCGACAGCACGCACGCACGCACGCAGGCACGCACGCACGCACGCACACACGCACACACGCACATGCTTTGTTGCTTTAGGAATTTCTTCTCCCTTTTGATGTTGCTGAGTTTTTCAATAGTGGAAGGTGTTTCATATCGAGATCTTGCTGATAACACAGATGGTCAGTGTCCTTTGCGGGGTAGCATTTTTGGTATATTTCATTCCCTTTCAATTCAGCAAGCAGAAAAATCTGCATTTTTAATCTTAAGGTACTGACAGACTGTAAAATGTTCTTAAAAAATAATTGGTGTACTCAGATTAAAGCAAGACTTGGAGCTGCTGTGCTGCAGTGAGCAGCGTACACAGTGTTGCCTGTGTGAGAGGATTTAGTGAAATCAGAAAACAAACCGTAAAATCGTATTTGCCTCAGGACTCACGCTGCCAGCCACTGCTTGTTGCATGCACGTTTGGTTGGTCACAAAACTGTCTGTTGGGTAGTGCTGATTTTCAACGCTGCTTCAATGAGTTCTCTCTGGTGACACATTTTGACAACCTTCCTCTTTTGCATTCCAGCAAACAGTATGCCCTACTTCATGTATCTGTTTGCCTGGTGAAAACACAAAAGTGGTATAAAAGGAAGTGTATGTTTGTTTGTGCACTCATTGGTGCATGCAGTATGCAGCTCTCTGCCATGACAGCTGCCAGTGAGGTTAACATAAACTCTGCCCTACTGCATCAACCACTTTTTAATAAACTTTTTATGCCCTACTGCATTAAACACTTTTTGTTATTTATTTAATTGTATTGAATGTAAGTCAATCAACTTGAATCTTTTAATTTCTACAATTGCTTAATACACAGGGCTGAATCACAGAGACTCACTGTGTGATTGCTTTGTCTGTCTCTACTTGTTGTCCTGTTGATTAAACATTAGCCTAGTTGTGTCTTTGCAGTAAACCCTCCAAATGATATGGAGACAACGCTCTACACTTTACACAGCTCATTATAAAAGATGGATTATTCTGCAAATGAAATGGTTTTGGTTTGTTTGCATGAGCTAGTCAATAATGAACAGGGAGCTAGGCTCAAGTGCTGGCTGATCTCAGTTGTTTTCCCATATGAAGTGTTTTCCATTGTTCTCCCTAAATAAACTGTTTTGGGACCTGTGCATAATCTCAAACTGAATTAGGACATTGATCAGAAACTCAGGCCAGTGCAGTTAGGTTTCAATACAAGCTGTTGCCCTGCAGCGCAGACAGGAATATAGACATCGTGATCTGTGCACTTGCCCCTCTGTTTTATTGTCTTGCGAAAATCTGTATTTTGAAAGACAAATGTTCAAGGCCTTTTTAAACAGGCATAACATGGGCATTTCCACCAGTGATGGATTCAGGAGTCTGTATGCAGCTACCACAGCTGGTTTTGTGGCCACAGAGCGCTGTGGTGGTCTGGACCAGGACGGGAGGAGGGGGGTCTAGTAAAGGTTTTTGGTTGGTGGTGGTCACCAGACGTACTCTAGAGGATTGCTGGGTAATATACGAGCTGTGACATCACTTCAGCGTGACAGATATTGAGGGAAAAGAACAGAGGAAAAGGAAGAGAGAGTGAGAAATATAATGAGCAGAATGAAAAATCTAAATTCGAGGGAAAATAAAGGTTTCAGGGAAAAGTGAGAGTGAGGGTGTGGGGTTAGCCTCAGTGCCCACACACACACACACACACACACACACACGCACACACACACGCACACGCACACGCACACACACACACACACACACCTCCCTGAATGCATACGATCCCATTTTAGGCAAGTGACTGCAAGAATGGATGGATACAGAAAGAATGTGCTCACTGCATTGCGGCTAGAATGATGTTGATATATAGTCCAGAACTTATGCTCTCATTCCTAACAGTGTCATTATTAAAACAATAATGTTGTACCCCCTACACATACAATNTTTATCCTGAACTTTGAAAAATACAATGATGGATTCAAAATAAAAATAAGTTGCTGAACTGAATCAAAATAATATTCAACCTGAAAAATGATTTCAAATACTTATTTTTATTTTGAATCCATCATTGTATTTTTCAAAGTTCAGGATAAAAACTTGAACTTTCAAATAAATTGTATTTTTTTGAATGATCAAAACTTATGACCCCGAAATAGCTCCATATACTGTCAGCATTGTGTGTTTTCTTTGAGAAAAAAAAATGAAAAAGATCAGTTAAATTAGTTTTTTCCCATTATATGGATATAAAATATTCATAGTTTATTAAATATTAAGGTTCCTTAGACGTTGTTTCCTGCAAATGACACAATTTCGCCCCGGAACCGGGTCCGTGGGGCCTAAGATTAAAGTATTTCACACAGACTATCTCCTCTTTGCTCTTCTCTCTGTGTGGAGCAGCAAGCTCAGCTGTCAGAACAAAGTGAACAACAAACAATGGCATAAAATACTATTAATATGTCGTAATACATCTATTTATTTTCTTCTCAGAGTGTACCAGAATGGGAAGTTTATATGTTAGTATTTCAAAAAATCCCCTGGGGGAGAATCCCCCCAGACCGCACTTCTGGGGTTAGGTTTTCAGCACGTGTGCCTTTTTATGTTATACAGTTCAGCTTTGATTCCATCATCTCATTAAACCTTATTTAAAAGCATTATTTTGTTCTGTGAAGGGATATAAGGGATATGCACTGTACTTCACTTTAATTAATATTGTATGCTGCAAAGCGTATATATTACTGCAGGATTTTTTGTTGAATAGATTTGAGTGGTTCAAAATTTCGGGTCGCGATCTATTGACTAAGGACCATGTTCTAGACCAGTTGAGAACCACTGGTCTAGAACATAATGTGATGAGCCCTGAAAAGTAACACTAAAAAATGTCAAATTGCTGTAAGCTCATGCCAGTTCTTACAATAACAGCAAATGTGCTTTCAATCATTTCAATAAATCAACCACAATGATGACTACATATCTAATGCAAATGCCTCCACGATGGACAAAGTGATGTATTCATCTCTGAATATTTGTGATTTGTGCAAAGTGACTGATTTGCCATTGCGGAATGTTTATCGCAAACCTACAATCACAAGTGCAACTTGGAAATAAACACAAGGAAACTATTACAGAGAAAAGCAATGACAAAAACATGCAGTGCAAAATCATCCTTTGCTCTTCTATGATACACCTGTTTCCTTCCTCTGCCCACAACTAACACCATGTCTCTTGGATAAAAACCCAAGTAACAAAAGTGCATTTTTTCATTTGAGGGTCAGGTTTCATTTCACTCACCAAAACACACAGAGATACATATATTGAAACAATCATCACACACAAATCACAAGTCCTGTTGCCCTGTCTCAGTATGGTTTGAGCAGCCCTAACAGAACTACTGGTCAGAGATCAGCACAAAAGACTCAGATTAATAACTTCATAATATGATGTGAAACAACAGACAATGTTCATATCTCATATTGTCTAGAGTAGAGAATGTTGTTTACCTGGGCCTCTGTACACCTCACGGAGCAGGCTTTCGCTGAGGGTCACCGGGGATCCATTGACCATGCTGTGGGTCCAGCTCTGACAGATCGCTTGGAGCAAAAGCGTCTGGGCCCTTGTTGCCTGGACAGTAAAGTGAGGAAGCTCAAAAATACACTCTGTGGTAGGGACCGAAGATCTCTTGCACCTGGAATAGAGGGACATTAGATGAAGAAAGACAGAGTTAGATAATAAATAGTATATGGAAAAAGAGAGAGAATGATAATGTGACAATAATAAATAAAAGATTGGAGAGTCGCATTTAAGTGCCAACATACATTTAAAGAAATGGAACCCATTTCATGACTAGTGCAAGCCAAGTGTTCCTTAGTTACTTGGCAGACAGGTGCAGTTCTCCTCTTTGACGCCGACCATCTCTCCCCTCCATCAAAACTGTGATGATGATTTATGTGAAGAGATGAACAGCCCAGAAACCTGACCCTTAGAATAATCTCTATGCATTTACCATTGTATCTGTCTCCAAGAGCGTGGAGGGAGAGAGGTTGTGTGAATGTGTGTGTATGACAAGCTGATGAGTGGAGCGTTTAGGGGGATGAGGTAACAGCACAGAAGGATGGTGTCCTCCAGGACCCTGTCCATCAGAACCTCAGCAGACAATGCTCTCATTTATCACACACACACACACACACACACACACACACACACACACACACACACACACACACACACACACACACACACACACACACACACACACACACACACACACACACACACACACACACACACACACACGATCCCATCCATGATATTGAGGCCACCAACCAAAGTATGGCATTATACACAGTGCTGGGACTGACGGAGCACTTGTCATCCTCTGTTACTCTCCCTCTCCCCTTGTCCCTCCCTCGCTTTGTGTCCCCAGGAACGTCTGTTCACTGGAAAAACTCCCAGGGAGCCTGAACTCAACACTGCAAAACAAGCTGTTTGAGGTTCCACTGCTCTTTTCCTCTCAACTGTTCTGAGAAGTTCTTCAGTTGGGTGTTTGATGAGGTGCCCCCCGCCCTCACATCAACTTTTCGGGGCGTGTGTGCACATATGCTTGACTACATATTGTAATGGAGGCAGAGAGGTGCTACTTAAATGAGCAGCCTCTTTTTCGGTGAAAATATCACTGTGACTAATTCCAGGGATGTCTGCAGCGTGCCAGGAACAAGCATCACAGTTCATTTAATCACACATCCATTTTGGTCTGCTCCTAGTTCAGAGTGTGGGATATGTCAGGGGGACTCTCCCTCCGCTCAGCAGCTCTGCAATCGTTTAACTCCTCTGCTTCCCTCCCTCTCTCCTTCTCTGTGTCTCTTTATCGTTCCCTTTATTCTGCTCCTGGGTGGTTCAGTAGGGTGACATGAGCTGTTAGCTGCACGCAGGCAAGCCCAGAGTTCTTAACTGCCTGCTGTCTCAGAGGGGGACTACTATGAGACAGAAAACGAGAGAGAGTTTGTAAAAGAGAGATGTCAGAGGCACAGGGAAAACAAAGAGAGAAAAACTCCAAACCTGACAGGGTCAATGAGTTTACCCCGACAGCGCACATATACATTTTGAACTCCCTGGAACATATGGTGCATTTGGCACCATGGTGAACCATGCAATGTCATGCTTCTCTACCGTAGGAAACCAACACTGTTTGAAGCTATACAGAAGGACATTAATCAAATCAATTTTATTTTGTGTTTTTGTGTGATCAAACATGTGCATGCCTGTGTGTGTGTGTACACGTAGCAGATAACACTTTTGAACAAAAGAAAGTGAATGGGAACCAGTAACAACAATGTCCCCACATGCAGAGCAAATGTGCCTGCAAAGCCATTTCAATGGGAGGGCTGGCAAGGGATGAAAGTTGGTTGGCTTTTTCCAGTGTTAATAGCTTTTCAGGGTAGCTGTCATGTGCATGTGGTCGTCTAAAACTTTAATTATGCACCTGTTTTTATTATATTATGCCTGATTCTTTGCAAACAGCAACTTGAATCTATCAGCTAAATGAGAAGCAGAAACTCTCATTAGGGTGCTTTGGGAATGCTGGATGTGAGGACAGCCAGACACTCATCAGATTTCATTAAGTAGCTGGCACAGACTGTGATACTTGCTGCAACATGGTAAACAGCTTTTTGGCGAGCAGCTCTTTTACTGTTACCACAGCCTTTGAAAGAATCAAAAGCCTCCAAGAAGTAGAAAAAAAAGTGCTCACACCTGCAGCATCAACAGCAATAACAAGTGACTTAATCCCAACCATATAACTTGTGAATGGAACATGGCAAACTCAAATGTTATCCACTGGTTACAGTCAGTACATTGTCCTTATTGGAAACAGTCTGTAGCCTGGCGAGCCAAATTCATTAAAGCATACTTCTTCTCCTATAATGTGGAGACCCACCACAAGTGGTCCCTACAACGCATTTAGGATCCTGATTCATAATTTAACAAACCAGGTCCTTGGCTTGAACTTACATTTCTCAGAACAGCCTCTGACCTCACAGTATTCCTTTAAGTCAATAACTTTTTTATTTAAACACAGGCCACCAGGAATACAATGAAATGAAATAAAAATAAGTAAAAAGCCTTGAAAAATTAGGTGTTTCAATATTAGCCAATGAAAATGATTTCCTCTGGTGTGCTTCAACGCCATTAGGCCTAGTTTCCCGGTGTGTCCCCTGTTGGTGTTGTGACTCCAGTAACAACTGGACGGGCTAGCACAGGCCCCTTTGGCTGACTGGCTGGCACAAGTCTTTCTGTCCAGTGTCTCTGTCAGAATCACACAACAGGGCATGTTTCCTCTGTGTACATGCTCTAATGTGGACATAAAGCAAGGAAAACTAATTATTTTTAGTCATTAAAATGAATGAGTGAAATCTAAAAGGGAGTTGATGCCAGGTGACCCACCAAAAGTATTTCAGCTCCAAACAAGGCTGAGAGCCATCTCATGAAACGTCATGCCATTGCTAGCATAAAGGTTTTACTGCCAAAGCCTAACCTATCTGGCTAGTCTGTGGGTAACCTACGCCTGTACCAAACCTTTTTCTCATCATTTTAGCTGAGATATATTTGGACAATTGGTTCTCAGGGTAATAAGCTTCCTGGTCTGCTCTGACTGTGGTCACAACTATATTTAGACAAATCCAGCTGGGGCTCTGACTAACAGGCTGTGATTGCTGCTTTACAGATGCAAGGTCACACACTAGCACATAGGCACACTAAGACACACAACCACAAAAATGCACATATATGTACAGACACAAATTAGTGAGTGTTTGCCAAAAACACATATACATAGAAGCCAACACATAAGCTGTCACACAAGCACACGTGTACACACACCTGTTCACGCTTACGTTCAAACCAATAACAGCATGTTGGTCAGCCAGAGCACATTCAGCAGCAGTAATGAGGCCACAGCTGACATGGGGTCTGCCGCTCTAACAACCTGTAACTGGAGCAATTAGAAAACTAGCTGCCAATTTTACAAGTTTGTATGTCTTTGGCGTTTATAATAGTAACAGAGGAGGGAAGAGAACAAGAAAAATACAATCAAACCCTGCAGAAACACAAACAAGAGAAAGGGTGCAGCGGCAAGCATAGGCAAAAGAAGGATAGAGCATGCAGACTTGTAGGTCATATGTTTTCTCCAGCAGTCTCATTAAAAAAGCCATTTGGAAAAGCTCCAGCAAAAACTCTGGAATAGCAGAACTGGTAAGTTCTTGCTTTGGACCGTTGCAGGCCAAAATAAACATTCATTTTTGTTATTACTCGTATCCTGTACAGTAGCAAAAATCAGTTTCTTCCCTCTTTCCAAAATATAGTGGCACAGACAGCTGTTGGGGCTGATAGGTCAGCAAGAAATGTGGAGCAAGGTGTCTGATCCCTTTGACACAATCACACCTTCTATGAATCCGATAGATTTTTTCCATAGAAGAGATACTTTTAAAGATAAAAGTGTTAAGTTATGGGAAGTATTTAAAAGGATAATGTAGACTAAATCCAAGGCAGTTAAGTAAACAAAGAGTTAACAAGATAGTCAATCAATTTTGACTGGCCTCACAATGTGCTACTTTCTCTTGATTGAGACTTATCAGCGACCCCAATGTAATCCATTATAGGTTGACATATTTGTCTGATAGATACAACAGAGCCACCGTCTTGGGACCACTGATAAGTTATCTAAAGTTTCTACAAATCATTCACTGTCACACCCTGCCTTAATTATCAATACAAACATTCCCCAACTCAAACAGTTAAACAAAACCCTCTACTGCTATTGTTTTCCTATTTCAAGAGCTTCTTTGGAGGGAACCAGGCTGAAAATGGAGGCAAGGCCAGAGTTGACAGTTTATACCTTTTTTTTTTTTCATTGTGGTGCAGATTAAGTTGAAGTATTGCAGTATTCCCCATCTCTCCAAGCAAAGGTCATTGACCCCTCTTGAAAATAAGTGAGTTAAAGGCTGCTCTCAAGTCCCCTCTTTTATCTCACTACAAAAGACTCACTACAGTGTCTTGCAAACTTTCCAAATGAACAGTATAAATCACGCAAGCACTTCACATTGATCAACAACTCCTAAGTGAGCAACTTGGGGGATTGGAACATTTTGCCAAATGAGCTGGCATGTGAAAAGTTCGAAAATATTACCAAGGTAAAGCCAAGCAAGCGTACTAATAATCCTAATTATTATTATTATTATTATTATCCTAACTCTTACAATTATTATCCTAACTCTTACAATTGTTTTATTTTACTGTATGTGTCACTGCGTCATCGGTTTGGTTGACACATGGTCTGTGTGATTGTGACCTGAGCGGGCCCTCTGATAAACCACATGTTGCAGAAATTAGTAAATGCATTTTGAGCAGGTAACTGTGATTAATAAGTCATTACTAATGAGGACTTTTTTGGTTCAAGAAATATATGGCTTGATAAAAATATTAAAATTAATGAATACATCAAGCACCCAGTGAGATGACAAACTGTGAGTTTCAGAATGTTGTTGATTTGAAGAAGGATCACTTCAACTAGCAGCCATCCTTTAAAGCCACAATATATTTTTATTAGGGTTTATATTTAAATAAATTGATATTTAACTGAAAACATTGTTTACAGTGATTCTGCTTGTGAAATTAAGTGATTACAATTTTTACTTTATC